CCCCCAAATAAAAAGGGACCCCCCCAGGGTTGAGACCCCCCCCCCTCCCAGGTACGAAGGGGGCCCCCCCCCAGAAATGGGACCCCCCCCAAATAAAAAGGGACCCTGCCAGGTACAAAGGGACCCCCCCACACTGACAGTGGGACCCCCTCCAAATACAAAGGGACCCCCCCCAATGACAGTGGGAGCCCCCCAGGACCAAAGTGACCCCCCCAGGTACGAATGGACCCCCCAGAAATGGACCCCTCCCCATTTCCTCTCCCCCGTGCACTTTACTCGACGCCCCCTCATGCGGGGCTCAGACCCTGAAGTTGGGGGGGGTCCCTCCATGTCCCCCCCCAAATCCTTTTCCCCCCCGTAGCGGGGGGAGGCTCAGCCATAAAGACCCTTTTGCTGCCGTCCTTGCAGTGTGTTTATTTTTTGGGGGGGGGCGATATTGGTANGGGGGCGGGCTCCCGTTGGAACCTCAACCCCATAGGGGCCCCCCCACAATTCCATGGGGCCAGTCCCACAGATCTCAGCCCCACAGATCCAACCCCATAGGTCCCAGCCCCATAGATTTCTGACCCACAGATATGAGCAACACGCCCCAGCCCCACAGATCTCAGCCCCAGAGATCCGAGCCCCGGAGATTCAGCCAATACCCCGCACCCCAATTCCACATTCTGCACCCCACACTCCCTATTCCACATTCCCTACCCCACCCCCCACCCCCGCACCCCACATCCCGCCCCACATCCCGCCCCACACGTGTAGGGCCGCAGCCCTCCGGTCCGGTTTCTCCCCTTCCTGACTCAGCGCCGCACAGCCGCAATTTCCGCCCGTGTTCCTGGGGCCGCCCCGATCCGATCCCATAAATAAGGAGCGCCGCGGGGCCGGGGAACGGCGCGATGGAGGTGGGAGATGTGGGGCGGGGACGGGGTGGGATATGGGGCATGGGGTGGGATGTGGGGAATGGGGTGGGATGTGGGGTATGGGGTATATGGGATGGGTAAGGGGGTATGTGGGGATGGGACGTGGGGTATGGGATGGGATATATGGGATATATGGGATGGGTATGGGACTGGGATGGGATCTGGGGTGTGAGGTTGGGGATGGGATGGAATATGGGGTATTGGATGGGGAGTAGGATGGGATATGGGGTATTTGGGATGGGTATAGGGTTGGGATGGGATGTGGGTTATGGGATGGGTATGGAGTGTGGAGTGGGATGGAGTTTGCAATGGAACACGGGGTATGGGATGACAGAATGGGGTATGGGGTATATGGGATGGGGCGTGGGATGGGATATGGGATATAGGGTAGATGGGATGGGCATTGGGCTGGGATGGGATGTGCGGTATGGGGGTGTGATGGCTATGGGATGGAATATGGGGTATGGGATGGGGGGCAGGATGGGATATGGGGTATATGGGACGGGTATGGGGTTGGGATGGGATGTGAGGTATATGAGTGGGGTATAGGGTTGGGATGTGGGGTGGGCTATGGGGTTGGGGAGCCCTGGGGTGGCTGCACATTGGGTGATGGGCACTGCTGTGCCCCATAAGCTGTCCCTGTGTCCCCAGTACAGCCTGGTCCCATAACCCCCCCATAACCCTCCCCCATATCCCCACCCCATATCACCCCCATATCCCATAACCCCGCTTTACCCCAATAACCGCCCTGCAGCGCTGCAGTTCGGGCTCACTGGAGGAGCACCGCGCACTGCTGGATGTGGGGCCGCCCCACAGCGATGGGGACAGCGATGGGGACAGCGATGGCTGCGAGTGCGAGTGGGAGGAGCACGAGGGTACAGACAGCCCGACCCCGACCCCAATCCTAATCCCAACCCCAACTTCAATGCTAATCCTAATTCCAATCCTAATCCCAATCCCAATAATCCCAATAATCCCAATAATCCCAACCCCGATAACTCCAATGAAACCCCAATTAATCAAACCCCGCAGCCCCCCAGGACCTGCTCTATTCCCGCTGCCTGGCTCGCACTCTCTGTGACGCGGCCGCCCCACTCACTGTTGGGATTTTCGCTCCGTGCCCCCATCGCCTGCAGGGGATGCTGCAGCACCTCGAGGGTAGGATGCGGGGCTGTGGGGTGGGGTTATGGGGGGGCGTTATGGGGCTGAGGGGTTGTGGGGCTGAGGGGTTGTGTGGCTGTGCTGTTAAGGGGTGGAGGGTCATGGGGTTATGGGGCGAGAGGTAACGGGGCAGTGGGAAGGGGGGCCATGGGGTAATGGGATGGGGGTTATGGGGCAGGGGGCTCCCAGCCCTATAGGACCTTGTGGATCCCCCTACCCCTTTCTTATGGAACCCCCACCTTATAGGACCCCCACCCCCCAACTCCGGGGTCCCCTATGGCCCACCCCTAGAAGACCCCCACTCCATAGGACCCCCCCCATCACGTGACCCCCGCTCAACACGCGCCGTCTCCCCGCAGCCTCCATGCATTCTCACTCCGCGCTGCTGCAGCGCCGCTCCGCCCGCTCCGGCCGCCCCCCGCCCCGCACCGCCCGCGGCTGGGGGCTCCTCCAGGCGCTGTTTCTCCTCACGCTCTTCCGCCCGGTGCTCCGCCGCCCCGCCCGGGACCCCCGCCGCCCCCCCCCGAACATCTCCTTCATCTTCGTCCGTTTCTCAGCCTGGCATTACGTGGGCTGCGACCGCCTGTGGGCCGGGCTGATCAGCGCCCTGTGCCGCTCCGTCCGCCGCCGTTTCGGCCCGTGGCCGCTCGCCGTGTTCCACGTGGCGGGCGCGGCTCCGCGCCACGGCGGACCGGGCGGCAGAGAGTGGGAGCTCCGCACGGCCGCGTGCGTCAAAGCCGGAGCGATCGTGGGGCTGCTGCTGCTCGGCTCCGCGCTGCTGCTGCTCGCCTTGGCCGCGCCGTGGCTGCGGGAGCACCGGGTGCTGGGCGCCGTCGGCGTGGCTCTGAGCTCCGCGTCCGGCTCCGGGCTGCTGGCCGCGCTGCTGGCGGTGCTGCGCCGCGTGGCCGTGAGCGAGCGGAGCCGCGTGGAGCGCTGGAGCGACCGGGAGAAATTCGAGGCTCAGCTGGGCTTCATGAGCAAAGTGAGGGCGGAGGTGGAGGGGCTGAGCGCGTTCATCGCCGCCATGGAGGTGTTCGAGCGGCGGAGGCTGCGGGTGGTGATGGAGATCAGCGCCCTGGAGCGCTGCGGGGCGGAGCGCTGCGCGGGGGTCCTGGAGGCCGTCAACACGCTGCTGGCGGACCCCGAAGCGCCCTTCATCTCCGTGCTCGCCATGGAGCCCGGCGTGGTCGTGCAGTGCCTCGAGGGATCCGCGGCGCTGCGAGGCGTCGGGGGCAACGCGTACGTTTATCTGAGGCGGACCGTCGGGGTGCCGTTCTGGGTGCCCAGCATGGAGCACCGGCAGAGGATGAGGGAGGTGAGGAGGGCGCTGGGGGGGGGGCACCCCGCGGACCGCAACGGGCACCCAGGGTGGAGCGACGGGCACCCAGTGCAGCGCGAGGAGCACCCGGTGCACCTCAAGGGGAACCCAGTGGACCACAAGGAGCGCCCAGGGCGAGGCAATGGGCACCCGATGCAGCGTGAGGAGCACCTGCACCACGAGGAGCACCTGCTGAGCCAAGAACAGCACCCACTGCAGCTCGAGGAGCACCCAGTGCAGAGCAGTGGGCACCCAGTGCGTGATGAGGAGCACCCACAGCAAGAGGAGCACCCAGTGAACCATGAGCAGCACCCACTGCACCACGGGGGGCACCCACTGCCCTATGAGGAGCATCCACTGCCCCACGAGGAGCACCCATCGCCCCATGAGAAGCACCCATCGCTCCATGAGGAGCACCCACACCATGAGGAGCACCCAGTGCCCCATGAGGAGCACCCATCGCCCTATGAGGAGCATCCACTGCCCCATGTTGAGCACCCACACCATGAGAAGCACCCATCACCCTATGAGGAGCACCCACACCACAAGGAGCACTCACTGCCCTATAAGGAGCACCCATCGCCCTATGAGGAGCATCCACTGCCCCATGTTGAGCACCCACACCATGGGGAGCACCCATCACCCTATGAGGAGCACCCACTGCCCTGTGAGGAGCACCCATCTCACCACAAGGAGCACCCAGTGCCCTGTAAGGAGCACCCATCACCCTATGAAGAGCACCCAGTGCCCCATGCTGAACACCCAGCGCCCCACGAGGAGCACCCATGGGTGCGGGTTGCGGAGCGGCAGACGCGGCGCTGCGTGCGGGCGGCGCTGCGCTCCCTGCACGACCCCCAGGGGGCGCTGTGCCGCTTCGTCCCCTCCGATGGGGCGCAGCTGCGCCGGATCCTCAGCATCGTCCCCATCACCGTCCGGCTCCTCCTGCACCGCTGTGCCCCGCATGGCCGGGGGGGGGCCGGGGGGGCAGAGGAGATCTGTGGGGCGGGGGGAGGTGCGGTGATCCCCCACGGGATGGACAGTTGTGGGGCGGGAAGATGTGGGGCAGAGGAGATCTATGGGATGGAGGGATGTGGGGTGATGCCCCATGGGATGGAGAGCTGTGGGGCTGGGAGATGTGGGGTGGGGGGATGTGGGGTAGAGGAGATCTATGGAGTGGAGACAGGCGGGATGGAGCCCCATGGGATGGAGAGCTGTGGGGTAGAGGAGATCTGTGGGGCAGAGAGACACAGGACTGAGCCCTCCGGGACAAAGAGGCACGGGATGGAGCCCCGTGGGGCGGAGATGGATGGGACTGAGAGCCGTGTGACAAAGATCTGTGGGGCAGAGGAGCCCTATGGGGTGAAGAGCTCTGGAGCAGAAATCTATGGGGCGGAGAGCCATTGGATGGAGCCTTATGGGGCAGAGATCTGTGGGGCAGAGGAACTCTATGGGGTGGAAATCCAGGGGACAGAGCCCCATAGAACGGAGAGCTATGGGGTGGAGCCCGATAGAATTGAGCCCTATGACGTTGCACCCCACTGCCTGCTGCCCCACAGCCCCACAACCCCGGGCTGCCCACCCCACTCTCTCCCACCTGACACCTCAACGCCCCACAACCCCTCACTCCATAACCCCACACCCCCCAACCTCACCCTCCCTGCCCTCCCACCCCCCAACCCCGCACCTGACAGCCCCCCAGTCCTTGTCCTCTCACCCTACATCCCCTCACCCCATAAGCCCACACCCCCCAAGCTCCCACCCCATAACCCCACGCC